TTTTTAGCATAAGCGTGTCCCATGAAATATAATTTTAAAAAATGACTTGTTGTTTATCTGAAATTCAAATTTAACCAGTGTCATATATCTATTTGCTAAATCTGGCATCCCAACTTGTTAAGACTGAAGAAATACTCAAGACAAAGTAAGGGAAAGAGAGAATAACTCCGATTTCAAAGTATGATAAAGAGAAAAACAGCCCTTCCAATGGACAATCAACTTAATCAAAGCTGACTGGTAGAAAGATTGACCCCTCTGCAAAGCCTTCAGTTCCTAGGAAGGTCTGCTGGAGACACCAGCAAGATCCAAGTTCAATATTTTTTCTTCCACTTGATTTTGGAGAATGTTTCTGTTCGAGGGGATCTTAGAAAATCATTATCCTTGCTCTTTAAAGCCTGTTGTGTGGCCCAGCAGTGAGCGGGAGGGAGCCTATTAGTAATGTGGGCTCCCAGGTCTCCCTGAGACCTACTGATTCGAATGTGTGGTTTAACAAGATCCCTTGTGATTCGTGCACACAGTCAACTTTGAGAAACACAGATTTAGTTCTGCAGTTTCCAAAAACATGCTTTAAGAAAGTGTGGGATTCATAGAAACTGGCGGGGTTTAGGGAGTGCCTGAAAACAAGCTAGTCCAGCACAGTTAAGGGAGACCCGCCTGGGTGCTTCTGTTTGGGCTTCTAAGTAAGATTTTTTTTTTAAAGGGAAAAAAGAAAGCATCTGTGGCTTAAAATATTTTTTAAGAGAAAAGAGAAGAGAAAGATAAGGAGAAGATGGGAGAAGAGAAGAAAACAGAAAACAAAAGAGAAATTTAAAAAACAGTAATGTAGTTCATTTTCCAGATGAGAGAACTAAGTAACAAAGAAAATGTGACATCCTGGGCTGGGAAATGATCTATCTCCCTTTCTACTTCCTCTCTGTTCTTTGTGGAAGGCAACATAAAATACCAGAACTTGAATCAAGTACTTGGCAAGTGCTATCATGTCCCACAGGCATCTTCTATCTGGGCCTTGAATTTCTAAATCAGACCTTTTTTTTTTTTTTTTTTTTCTCCAAGCTCATGCCTAGAATGTCCTTTCAAGGGCCTGTCTAACCCAATAGACTACACGGCTAACTGAGGGGACCCTACCGGTGTGTTTGTGGATATTTCAGCTAATTATCTTGCCACAGATGGTTGAGACAGATCTGGATGACTGTTCAATTAATAGTACTAAAGGAGTAATTAGGGAGAATCCTGCCCGTACACCCTGCCCCGGTGCTGACATATCACTGCGAACATTTTCTTCTGAATGTGATTAATCACATAAATAATTCTCAGAAATGAAATTAGAGATCACCCACGCATTACACCCAGTCATGTTCTAAGGCATTACGCTCTTCCCTGTAATGAATTAGCATTACAGTCTGGTTTCAGTTCTTCACTTTTCTGCCTCCATCCTGCTCTGTTAGCAAGTGACCCTGTGGTCTCTAACCATTTCTGCAACAATTTAAATTAGCCGTTCTAAAGAGAACACAGATTTAGGAAAGTGCGGCCCTTGAGAAAGAAGTACAATATATCCCGTCTCTATAATGCTTGGAAATTTGTGTCAGGGTGAGAAGTGATGCCTAGATTTCTAGTCCTTGCCATCCAAGCCCTTCCAGTCCACTGGGTTCATATTACAGCATCACCATTCTGGAGTTTTCCATGAGAAGTAAATGTTCAATCATTCTGTTAAAGTCATAGAATTCCCCCCATTATTTTCATTTATAAGGAAATCTCTGAGCAACTGTAGAACATAGAAAAGCAATTTCAATACGGACTAATTTATAATAGACTTTGTAATTTAGGAATTCTACAGGTTAGTGGAAGGAGGAAGAGTGATCAGAAGAACCTCATTCTGGAAGGATTTTGTTTTTTAAATATGATCTTCCTCCCAGAGTCTCTCTGGATCTCAGTATTTTAGAGGACAAATTAACCATCATTTTACAAATGAGGAAACAAAGGCCGGAGAAATCAAGTGACATGTTCACAGTCACATAATTGTTTTGTGATATGGGACAACATGGCCTATTTCACTGTGAAAAGTGTTCCAGAAAGGAATCAGGGTTTGGGTGAGGTTTTTACTTTTTATTTGGCATTGCTATGGCTAAGATTGAGATGTCAAGGGATTTTTAAAAAATATAAAATAAGACCAAAAATTTAAAACCCTAGTTTCATGACATTTGTTAGCTTTCAATAAGACATTATTATGGAAAATTCCCTTTCTTTCAATCTAATAAAAAACTATTGGAGGAAATATACATTTTCAGTGGTGCCTGAATAAAGTAGCAGTCTTGTATAAATCTGTGGCCGGATTATACATAATCTTTTTTGTTCAATTTTAGTAATGAAACATTTGAGTGAAGTATATGGATAGTTTAACCAGTTTAATTGATAGTTATGTGTGAGTAGTGGGATCTCTAGCGATGGTAAATCTTGTTGGGGTGTTTCTGGTTTTTCTTCCTACAAGGATTAATTAAAAAATTCAAACATTATCCTTAAAATATATAATTAATTTGGGAAACAAATTTTTACTACCTTAACAAAAGCACATGTTTACGCTTTCTATTTTGAGGCCCTCCATGATTACTGCATGTCCGCGGTAAATGTTGACAATAATCCTGCAATCTTTTCACCTAAGTCAGAATTATTAAATAATTCTGTCTTAGTAACAGGATACTTGATGCATTAGTTATGTTACACTGAACTAAAACTACAACTGTGTCCCAAATGTTGGGTGAGTTATGCAGAAAGCATTGAATTTTTAAGAAGTAATTTTCATAGCAGGAAAAATTAACTTTGGAAGTAGATAGATTTTATGTTATATGTCGGCTCTGCCATTGTGTGGCTTCACAAGTTTGTAAAAATTGTAAATGATTAAATTGTGGATACGAAATGAGATCACGCACGTGAACCACCTAGTAGAAAGCATGAAATATGGTTAAGAGTTTAACAAAATGGGGCAGTGCTTGTGGCTCAAAGGAGTAGGGCGCCGGCCCCATATACTGGAGGTGGCGGGTTCAAACCTGGCCCCGGCCAAAAAAAAAAACTGCAAAAACAAACAAACAAAAAAAAGAGTTATAGTAAAATATCAGTTTCACAAGCAGCCTCATCAACTTGCCCGTCATCTGCACTCCTTTTTAATAAAAAGTCACATATACCACAACATCTTTAAGTGCTTTAAATTAGTGCTTGAAAATGAGTGCTAGGTCCTGGGGCTTCCCAACTGGATGCATAAACCAGGTGGGCCTGGGAAAGGTGAAGATTCAGGGTAAAATCCTAGTGGTGCTGCTTGACCAGGGCAGCTGTGGCTTTGAATCATCCCAGTTGTAAAGTCACAGAAACCACAGTAGGGTCCAGTGGGCACTGTGACATGTGGCCTGTCTTCTCCAAACTGGGGTAACCATGAGTTCCAGTACCCGCTTGCTCAGAGGCACTTCTGAGTTTCCACTGACAATGCTCCATGTCCCACCTGGATGTGTGGATTTGTGATGTGGCCCTCCTAAGTTTTAACTTCTTTTGGAAAATAAGAATACTTCAGTTTCCCTTAATGGGACTTCATTAGCAAATAAACTTAAGACATTCTGCCCACATAATGGATATAGAGGCAGCACATCACATTACTAGGAGACAGACCTAACTACTTGGATTGGTATTTTTCCAGAATGTAGAGCGAATACCCCTTCCTACCTGATGTGAAAAAGTTCTTTTACAGCCATTAATCATGGACACTGGCATATAATTGGCAAATCTAGAAAGATGCACAATGCCAGTTTATGTACACTGATAGTTGACCTTTTTTGCATTAAAATTCTTTAGATAAAATAAACTTCCTTCAATACAGATTGTCTTATTCACCCCCAAACTGTAGACACTTTGATAAATGGCTCAATAGTTTCTATTGTCACTGTGACTATGAAATGCATTTTAGTATCTTCTGCAGCTGTACCTTAATAATTCATTTTAGCACATCTATTTGTAAATCACAGAAGGTTTGTTTGATGGACGAAGTGCTGGGGAAAAATGCGCTTATTTTGTCAACAACAAATAACCTGCATTTGAGGACTAGAGTCTACTGTGCACAATATTTTCTTCTTAGGCTTGAGCTTGTCCCTACCATGTGATGATGGAGTCTTATTTTCAAAGGATGATGTCTTTAATTTTCAAGCACAAAATGTCAAATATGCTTCGCTTAATAATTTCTTTAAAACGTTCAGTGAAGTTCTTTAAAAGCTTGTTCACTAGGAATTCTAGCACCTGATTGGAAGCACACCTCTAAGAACTGTGCAGAATTTCACAGTCTTAGTTTCTGAGTGAATTAATACACAAATGAAGGGACATCAAGATTGACATCTAGAAAAGAGAGTTTCAGTGACTAAATTAAAGGTTTTGTTTGTTTGTTTGGTTTGTTTGGATTTGGAGGGGGTTTAGTTTTGTTTTGAGACAGAATCTCACTCTGTTGCCTGGGCTAGAGAGCTGTGGCCTCAACCTAGTTCACAGCAACCTCAAACTTCTGTGCAATCCTCCTGCCTAGTCTCCTGAGTAGCTGAGACTATAGGTACCCGCCACAATGCATGGCTAATTTTTCTATTTTTTATAGAGATGGCGTCTTACTCCTGCTAGGGATGGTCTCAAACTCCTGAACTCAAGCAATCTTTCTGTTTTAGCTTCCCAGAGTGCTAGGAGTACAAGTGTGAGCCACCATGCCCAGCCCAAAATACTTGGTTTTTAATATAGTTTGTTTTTGACTAGTCTGTGCACTTTTCAGACATAAATCTTCAGAAGGCATTAAAACCTGTCTTTGACAAACTCTCAGTCCTCTGGGGGCATATGTGGCAAATGAACTACCCCCTGACAGAAACAGACAAGGATGCAAGAACAGGGCCTTCAGGGTTTATGAGGGGTGCACTCAATTCCAGCTGTGGCAGTAGTAAGAGAAAATTTAATGCATTGCATTTATTTATTTATTGCATTTTCTGTTTCAGAGACGCCCAAGCAGATGGCCTGCAATGAAATTTCGAAGAGGTTCTGGACATCCTGCTTATGCTGAAGTTGAACCAGTTGGAGAGAAAGAAGGTTTTATTGTATCAGAGCAGTGCTAAAATCTGTAGGACAGAACGGCACCAGTACTGGTTTACAGGTGTTAAGACTAAAATTTTGCCTATACCTTTAAGACAAACAGACAAACACACACACACAAAGGAGCCCTAAGCTGCAGTATCCTGAAGGAGACAAGATTTCTGGACAAGCCCTGCCCAAGAAGGGTAAAAGAAAAACTAAAAGTTATACAAGATACCATTTACACTGAACATAGAATTCCCTAGTGGAATAATTAATACCTATAGTTCACTCAGAACATCTGGTATGGACTTATCTGAAGTTATGAAAAGATTCCAGTGCTTTTGGCTTAGGTGCAGGGTTGCAAAGGGATCAAGAAAAAATAATAATAAAGCTTTAGTTCACAAGGGATCTAAACCTTTGGTTCAAATGTTCTTCTCTGATGTCTCAAAGGTAACTGTGTTCCAAAGCCTGAACTCTTTTACTCAAAAGAGCAATGATGAATGTTTCAAGATTGCTAAGGAAAAAAAAACATGCAGAAACAAAAACAAACACAGAATCAGAGATTTTCTATCTTTTCCAAACAGATGTGTGGCGAAAGGACTGTTTTTCTGGTCTGGATCCATCTGTATCAACAAGTTCGTTACTTTATAGGAGGAATCTTTTATCTGTACAGGAGGTTCAAACTATGCCCGCCTCTTCCTTGATAATGAATGCCTTTCTACATGCATTTGGAAATTTCTGAGATTTCCAAACTTTTAACTAATGATTCGGGAAGGGGGAGCAGGAAATGAGGCTCTTCCATTCTCCCGCCTCAAAATAACACACCTGATTTATTTTAAGAAGCATTGCCTCCATCTCCCAACTGTGAAGTCCCATGAAGCCACAGTTGTTCTTGGCTGACGGAAACAAAAATCGATCAGTACAAAGAATTCCCTAATCATTTTTGAAACAAAAATGTTAAGGGATTTTTAACTTTTTTGTTTCGTTTTTATGCCATTTCAATACTAAAGACCCATTGTCAATTCCCGTCTGAGAAGCCATTCAAGTCAGCATGGCGATAAAAAGAATGGAAGAACCCTGCTGAACCATACAGTAATTTTCTTTAAAGCACATAGTAGTTACATAAATATATATATAAATATATTTTTGTTTATAACTAACACAAGGCAGGCTCTTGTGATTCTAAGAGTGCATTTTGTCATCAAGACAAAACTTGCAAGATGCATCACTGCATAACTTCCATAGAGTTGTAAAATAATCCTTAATATTAGAATATTTTTATGTCACATAGCAAAAGTGATTCAATTAATTGCAGTACCCATCATTTTCCTGCCTATTTGATCCACTTTTTCATTCATGTCAATACTTTTCCTCCCTGGCTAAATAAAATTGTTCTGTAATTACAATCCAGATTTTGAAAATTCCCCATGAATGAAGAAAAAGAAAGGCATCGCTTAAGGAGGAGAATGGATATATATATAGAGAGAGAGGGAGAGAGAGAAAGAGAGAGAGCTCCTAAAGTTTAAATTCAGGTTACTATGCGTGCAATGTCATCAACATTCTGACCCCCAAAAAACTTTTACACTTGTAAGGTACAGTATTCAACATTTGCAGATTCAGGTCTCAAGAAGCCGAGATCTCTGATCAGCAGCACTTGACTAAGCTTAGCATCTGGACACAATGTCTGCACTGGACGACCTCATTCTACTAATAGGGTACCACATTTTATCATCACGATTGTCTGACATGAATGAGTGCCATTTCCTATCCCATATATTTTACTTTGCAATGTTAAGTATCTGATGAGGGTGGTAACATTTTCCTAACTCAAGAATTGCAGAAACCACAACAACAAAGAAATGAAAAGCAAGGTGACTGAAGGATGTGATGACAATCGCTCTACCGTAGCTATGTTCTGTTTATATGAAACATTCCAACTTATTCTTGTCGAGTAGGTTCGGTCCGCTAGCAATAACCAAGTGACTTGCCAATGTAACTGGTGCAACTGGTATTCTACAAGTATGTAAGCAACACATAGACGACTTCCTTGTCGGATAAGATGATGCTTCTTTCTCTAGCTTGAGCAATAGTTGTGGCTTCCAATAGCAATTGGTTGGCAGTTATACAAATCTCGCCTGATATCTTTACACACTTCTTAAGTAATAATGTTAGTCTTATCCCCTTCAGAGTTGATCTTCTATTTGAGATTCAAAAGATTTGATACTTCTATAAAAAAACAAATCCCAAAACCCTCTCAGTTGTTCAATGAAACAAAGCCCCAGGTAATAGAGAAAAGTTTTTGATAGTGAAATGTGGGGAGACTTCCTAACAGAAGAATTAAAGGGGATGGAAAGTTTCTTTGAGATATGAATTCTTTATGGTAAGGGGAATTATTGGCTGAATCCCTTTCTTTCATGAACCTTTTGTTGTATTTCACATTTTTGGTTTGTTCTTGGTGCCCGTTTGAGCAAACACACACGCACAGTTTCTGGAAATTCAGAATAGGCACTGATGCTTTGGGCTTTACATATATTATGTATTAAAGAGGGTGCACATATAATGACTTCATCTACTCTGAACACAATAGAGTAACAATAACAAAGAGTAGCAAAGGGACACAAACTTCTGGCGAAATCAGAAAAATGGTGCTACAGAGAAATTTAGTTATTTCATCTTCATTATCATTTGAAAAAAATAACATACAGTCGTTAAGATAGTGAAACTCAAGAAAAATGTCTTAAGTGGTCAGGAGGCACTGACCACAATGGTGTTTTGTTTATAGGGGTCTGGCCTTCAAGATATACCAACAAAAAGTAAACTAAACATAGATGATAAGATCCAATTGACCTCCAGTTATGTTAGTTTGAGACAGCGAAGGCATTTGCTTTTCCTTTACATGTAGCTTCTACAGCTGTGCTGTCCAATATTATATCCACTAGCCAAACATGGCTTTTGAAATTTGAATTAATTAAAGTTAAATAAAATAAAAAATTCAGTTCTGTAGTCTCACTGGCCACATGTCAAGTGCTCCAGGGCCACACCTGGCTCATGGCTACCATATTGGACAACAAGGAACACTTATCTTCACAGAAAATTCCCCTGGATATCTCTGTCAAAATGTTTCCTTTGAATGCCTTGTCCTTGAAGAAAAAGGAGGGCAGGGATAGAGAGAAGGTTTGGTAGCTTTGGGGCATAGCCAAGCTTTTTTTTTTTTTTTTGGACTACGGAAAAGAATCCCAGCCAACATGGCTTTGAGTTCCCACGAAGGTATCTTAAGGAAATCACTTCCACCTCCATGACTCTCAGTTTGCAATTTTGGAAAATAAAAATATTTTTTGTCCTGTCTTCCTTGGAAGATTATTATGCAGACTGATCAAATGTACAGAAGTACAGACTTTTACAACTTTGTGTCGATGTAACCCATGTAAAGCACATCTCGTGGTCCAGTACGGGCACAAATTGCATTCAAAGGAAAAGTAGTTCATCAATCAAAAAAAAAAAAAAGAGAGACAATCGACACAAAACATTTCTTGAGAAAGTACTAAAAGAGAATGCATTCAGCACACAGAGAAAAGTTGCTTATATTCCTTTTCTCCCATTGTCATATTTTCTCTAATATTTGCCCCACATGACATCTGTTCCAATACATCTCTCCTGTGCCAAGGTTGCATTTGTCCCCAGGCCTTTATTGCGTGGGGTCACTCAGCTTCTCTAGCTACTTCTGATATTTCATTTTTATTTTTAAGCAAAGGGAGGTGATCAGTAGGCTTCTTTTTAGAAAAGCAGTACCTCAAACACAAATAATTTCGTATTTATTTTATCCCTAGAACACAAGTGTAAGGGGATGCACCATTAAAAGATAAAAATATATGGGACTTAAATTGAGAAACATTGCAAATGCAGACTTTATAAAAGCAAGGAAATTACTTTCAATTATTCTAATTACCCAGACCATACATATTCTCAGATCAGTATAAATTATCAGTCTTTGGAAAAAAGAATTCTTAGCTTATTTCCTCATAAAGGAGGGTAAATTTGGTAATGTCTGTAGCATCGATTGCCATTCCAGTCAAAGCTTTGCTAGAACCTATGCTTTGGTTCAAGGCACTTTCATCCCATGATAAGAAATTAATATATAAATAAAACTGAAAACTATGTCCTGTGAGTATTGGAGTATTGGTTTTTTTCCACTTGCAAATTGTTCTTTTGCTTTGTGTTTCTTTAGGCATTTTCCTGGTGTTGTAGTGATTCTAAGAGATTTTTATTTTTTTAATTTTTACCATTTTGTCCTTTTATTTTACCACCTCTGGCATCGGTGCCAAATGCCATCATCACAGAAGGTTATCTTGTCCAACCTCTGTATTTTACCAATAAGCAAACTGAGGTCTATATTCTGTTCTATTTTCCAACTGTCACTACTGGGCCTCAAACTTAAAATCTTTTTTCCAGTTCTCATTGTCTATGTGGGCCATTACAACCAACCCAACAGCTTAGAAAGCACAGCCGTCTCAAAACTGACTTTATTTGCTGCACTGACTCTCCGCCCTGTGCTGGGATATGGAATATTGGCTCAATCCTCTGTCACGTTGCTGCTATTATTACAATGACCAGTGACTGCAAGGTGCAGCTATTTCTGTATTTGGTTTTGCAAACCTCTTCTCAACCTTCCCCCCATCTGTTGACATCTTATCTGGCAGTACTGTTTATCTTTGTCTTTTAAAATTATTCTGCCTTTGCCTCCTTTCTTCCCAAGTGTACTTGAACACTTACAATAAATAAATACCTTTTCGTTTTCTTACCGCATACATCATCACAATTTGTATTTGCTCTTCAACTATAAATATTGTGAGGTCTGTGGTCTTACCAATTAGACTCTCCCATTACCTTGTGTCTGAGAAGCATTTTACATTTTACAGAGCACTTTGATTCATCCCCTAATTTTTTTCATCATTTGTTCACTTTATTCACTTAAATATTTACTGAACGCCTACTGGAGCCAAGTTAGTGTGCTTGCTCTTAATGGATATTGTGATAGATACTGATAGGGAGAGGTCACACATGTCATCGATCTTTAGAATGCCACGAAATCCTCCAACCAAACTTCGCAAGTAGATAGGATCAGTATGAATATTACTCTTTCAATTTCCAATTTCAACTGTCTATTCTATCAACTGTTTTCCTGAAGAATGTTTCTGGAATAGCATACATCATGGCTCATTTCTGTTTGCTCCATTTGAAAAGCTCTGTTAATTTCACTTATGAGAAGAAAAGTCACTTCAAATTGTCCCTGACCCAGGCAGCCTTTCCAGTTCCCTCGTGTTCTTGCTGATGAGATGCCATAGCTGCGATCTGAATTTCTAGGACTGGTATTTCTATTGTGGCTTTTTGAAAGATGAAGCAACAGTGTATGGAAGGAGCATCTGCCTTTTAGGTGTGTGTGGTTTTCATGTCATTTATTAGAGTATCTCAGCTTTTCTCAACTAGGGGTCATCAACATTTTAGACATTTTTTGTTTCAATGTAGAAAGGGTCTGTGCCCTGAAGGGTGTCTGGCAGGTTCCATGGCTTCTAGCTCCTC